CTATTGTTCATGTTATATTCATGCCTAATATCAGCTTCCCACTTGTATTAAAAATAGCAGAGCTGTTCTATGGAAATAGTGTATCTTCAGAAGGCAGTCTTAGAGCTTTGACTTGTGATGAAATACAGAATCAAATGTTTTCAATAAATAGATAGGAGCAAATAAATCTATACCAGTTTCAGTGGAAAGCTTTCAAATTCAATGGACTATCTAGATTTTTTTTTTTCCCAGAATGATTACATAGCAACCAAAACAAAAAGCCCAGTGGACAAAATGGGACAATATAGACAAAATCAGTAACACTTTGCCTAAAATAAGCTGAAATCATTGCTTCCAGGGGTAATTCTTAGGTTGAGCCTTCAGTTTGAATGTTGTCTTGACTTTAATTCAGCCAGTGCTCAAAGTTACGAGTTCACAATAAAGAAAGTGGGAAGAGATACCAAGCTCTTCTTGGGAGCCAACCTGGGCATAGATCAGGTTTGCTGATGTAAGCCCAAAATAGCTTCACTTAAACTGCAAGGATAAACTTAAACTAGAAACTGTTGCAATTAAGCACATATATCCTTATCCATTAAGATCGAGACACTAGAGAAGGCTTGAATGCCAAAGAGAACCTGTTACTGGAGAAGAAAATTATGTTCTAATTAGACTGAAATAATCTAAATACATTAATATGTTATTTTTCCCAAAGATAATTTTGACTTACTGAATTTTCCTGTGATTTAAAAATAACCAGTTAGAGGCTCTGGTCTGATTTTTCTCTCACTGTTTTTTAAGTAACTGTAAAGTACTGTTTGTGCTTGCCAACTGTATAATCTGATTTTAAACTCATTCAGGGTAACTTTACTAAAAATCCTCTGTCTATATGCTGTTTACAGTGCTCCTGGATGAGAAAATACCTGTATATTTAGAAACTACCATCATAATCTCCGAGCTACAAGAATTAAATATGTATAGTCATAGTTCAATTTAGAAATGCAAATCACATCCATGAAGGAGGAATATATTATGACAGCAGTACACAAGGAGATTTATGTGGAAGTTGCCTTTGCCACTGATATCCAGAGCTCATATTACCAGAAATATATGCAAGGTTTTCTAAACTCTGGTCTTGATTATTCTACTTTCATAATGTTTTAAATCAGATTAGGCTGGTACCTCTTGTCAAGCAGGAAGTCAAACAGGTAAGAAAAAAAATAAAAACAAAGGTGCACTTTGCTGTGTTTAAATAGTCTTTCAATGGCTGTTTGTCTTCCACAGTACTGTAACTGCCCAGGTACTACAAAGCGTTAAACTTTTACACCCTCTTAGAGAAGCTCAACATTGAATTTTGGCCTCTAAAGATAATAACCATTCTTTCAGTGGCACATAAAAAGAGATCTGAACAGTTCTGATGCCTATTATTGTCGCTTAGAAATTGATATGTCCTTGAAATATCACTCTTCTGTGTCAGGCTGAACACTGACAGAATTTTAAAATTTCCTGACTTTTTTTTTTTTTACTTAGGTCTGTGTGGTGCTCTGCAGGATAGTTTATTTTCAAGGTCTTTTCAGCAACTTATGGCTTTAGTCTGAACACAACTGCCTGCCTATATGGCATCTTTTTTAAGAGGCTAGTGTCCAATATACTAATGATAGTATAATTGTATTGCATTTTCTTGTGATTAAAATGTCTGATTTATAACAACTCTTTTTGTATCTCAGGGGGGTGATCACCAATGAAGGAGGAGCTGTAAGGGTACAGGCTCTCCCAGGACAAGAAAACTACCCTGCTGTAAATGCCAATGGGATCCAGTCTCAGGTGCTCACTAGATGGGCTTCGTCTTTCTCAGTGACTCGTAGGTGGATCACACTTATTATTCTGCACACTATATTTGAAATATGAGCAGAACTGTAGGAAACTTTTTCAATACTCCTGTATGCATAATAAACGTGATTGCTATCTGAAGTGTAGTAACAAAGGTTTTCATTTTTAATTCATTATCTTTATTTTTCCACAATTTCCTTAAAATACTGTTCTAGCTAGACTAGCTAGTCTGTAGCAGATGCAGATACATAAAAATGGATCACAGTTATTTGAATATAATGACATTATAGCAGGCAGTTGACAGCGCAGTTCCCTGACAGAAGCTGATCAAAGTCAGTGCTTCAATCCTGCTATTGCAGTCCTGTCCACCTACAGCTTCCAGCCATATACTTTTATCCCTTCTCTCCCTGTGTCTGCCTTTGTGCAGACAGTAGCACTTGTCAGGCCCTTCAAAGAGCTTGTATAGCGTTCCTTGCAAACAGAACACTGATCCTCCAAAAATAGGAATGATGTCAACTTAGATGTGATGTGGTCATTGAGCTACAGCGTGACATAGTGGTTTTTTCAGAAGTTTTTGTCCGCATGGTTGAGATACAGTGTCAGACTGCAAACCAGTTATCGTGCTTTGCCACTTGAGTGAGGTTAACCACCCTCATAAGTTGTATGGGCATATCTGTTGTTGTGCACAGTTTCAATTAAAGTGTATGTATTTTCTGCTATATTGTTTCAAAGTCTGAGAAACAGAACTCTAATGTGTTCTCATTGTTTATGTAGCTAAAATTCAGCCTACTATCTCTAAGATACTAGTAATCCTTGTGTAGTGCCCATTGCAAACTGATAGCTAAGACCTTTGGAATTACAGGTGCTTTTGGTGAGGGTGTAAGTGAAATCCGCTTCTCCAGATCAAGTCCTGAATGTATCTGCTAGAAAAAATGTCTGCTACAGTTCAAAACCCCTCCTCAATTAGATATACTGTAATTACTCATCAGCTGCTGTTGTTTCCAATGCAGAAGCTCAGAGAAGTTAATTACCTGTAAAACAAGGAGTGCAATACTGGATTACACCAAAGATCTGTCTTGGCCTGTGTCCTACTCCCAGAGTAGCTAACGGCAGATGGTGAAGAAAGGTTACTTTAAATATAGTATTCTTCAAACACTTGTAATTTCATCTAAATACACTAAAAACCAGTAAATTTCTTTTTCCAATATTTTAACAGGTATCAAGAACACAGCGCTTGAAGCAGTTGGACGAACTGTATCAACAGCACGTCCTTCTACAGGTATGAGATCTCTGCAACCAGGGGAAGCCTCTTGTGATAATGTGTGCTGCAGTGTGTGAATCTCTGGCTAAAATTACATTTCATATGATTCATTTATTTTTAAGGCAGAAAATGTGCATGATATCTGGTTTTGCAGTATATCTTTCGTCAGTAAAAAGAGAAGTCATTTGAGATTGATTCTGATTTCAGTAGTGTTCATGTAAATAAAAAAAATTGAATTAATTTGGAAAAGTAATACAGATGACATAAAGGAAGGAAAGAGATCATGAGTTCATGGGACATTCATTCTTATTAAGTGACAGAAAAGACAGAGATGATGCATTCCTTCTTACAGAACTACTCAACAGCTGAGAGCTGTCAGGACTTGTGTAGCAGAAATTTAGATGTTATATGAATTTCTCCACAGAAAATGCTGCATTAAAAGGCTAGATCAGTTTTTATGAAGGTTAGTGGTATGTAAATACTGAACTTGGCTGTTGTTTGTGAATAGATCATTTGCTTTAAATTTTCAGTTATGGTTTGCTTCCGAACCATTAAAACTGCACACAGTGCAGCAGGATTGCTAAGTGAGAAATGGGAGCATTTGGGATGGTGAGCTACAGCAATCCAGACAGCTTTCTACATTTCAGTAATCAGCTAGGCAGGTGTGGCAAGGAAGGTTAAACTGTTTTATCTGAAAAAGAATATTCTCCAAGGAGCAAAGCAGTAGTAGTGCAAGTTTAATAGTTAAACTGATTGACAGCTCCTACTGCAGATAGATTGCAGTGTAATTCTTGGAGTCTGAGCTTTTTCTGGTTCAATTTTGGCCATTCATCTTCTTGTTCTTAAATGATCCATGCTGTTTCCTTCATTGAAGGTAAAAGACCTAAGAAGCCACTTGATAAAAAGGCTGGAAACAAAGGTAAGAACCCACAGATTTAACTTTTGCAAAGCAAAATCCAAGCATTTATTTGGTGTTAAATAAGTCTAATTATTTTGGATGTTCACAGACTGTAAAGCTGATATTGCATTTCTCATTGATGGAAGTTACAACATCGGCCAACGTAGATTTAATTTGCAGAAAAACTTTGTTGGAAAAGTAGCTGTGATGTTGGGAGTTGGAACAGAAGGGCCTCATGTTGGAGTTGTGCAGGCCAGGTAAGAACAGATGTATGTGAAATATAACTGAGGGATTAGTAAGAGAAATCAAGTAATATCTCACTCTCTATTTTGTAGAACAGTACTTGCACAATAACGGCTGGTGAATTTGTGGATGCCCCATCCATGGAGGCATTCAAAGCCAGGCTGGATGGGGCCCTGGGCAGCCTGTTCTAGTGGTTGGCAACCCTGCCCACAGCAGGGGGTGTTAAAATTAGATGATTAAGGTCCTTTTCAACCCAGGACATTCTATGATTCTTCTGATAGCAAGAGAAAGCAAACTCTTTCCAGCTGTAGCACTGTTTTGTCTCTGCTACGCTGAGATGCCCATGTGAGAGGACATGACAAATTTTATCATCTTCTGCCTCTGTGATACTTGATATTTGGATAGAGAGCAGTTGGACTTTTCATAGCCCCTCTGCTGCTGACAGTTTGAGCTCATCTTAGTAAAACAGCAGAAAGAACTTTGCAAAGGAGAGATGGCTCTTTTTAAAAACTGTAGAGAGAATTGTCACAAATGGCTGTGTACATGTACAAAAAAAATCCAACCAAAAACTGCTCTTGCCAACCTGTAGGTTACTACAGCTAACAGTTTCAAATTGTAAATGGTCATTTTTTTATTTGAAGACTAATCATAGAACCATAGAATCATCTAGTCTGGAGAAGATCCTTAAGATCAGAGTCTAACTGTCCATACTACTATGTATGTTCACAGCCTGCAAAGCAGTCTAGAAGCCACTGCAGCATCCAGCATTGGTAGAGGGCTTTTTGGAGGCAGAGCTTAGTTTGCTAATGCTCAGCAACAGCAGTTTTCCAAGGCTTAACCACTTTGGATGTGGCTTCTGGAATAAGGGAAGCACAAAGAAGCCTTTAATTCACTTATTTTAAGAAGATGAAACATCTGATAGATTAACACAGGGTTTTTCTGTCACATCTTTTGTCATGAAAGTCTGTTCCTCTCCCCTGTATGAGTAGATGTCTGAGTCTGATTTAATGACCTAGGCTTGCTTTCATAGTCACTAGAAAGAAAGACCACACTTAGGGCACAAACCATCTGAACCACTTTGGATGCCTCTTGTAGGATGTGATGAAATCCATCCCAAAAAATCCAGTTCCTGTCCACTAGGGAACTAGGGAAAAAGCTAGGGAAAATTAACTTCACTCCTGCTGTCCTGCGTTTACATACTAGAAGGTGAGGAGCAGTTCATGGAGGAACTGAGTAATCAGTTTAGCACCTTGAACATTCAACATTCCTTCATTAGAAATTAATCTTAAAAGCAATAATCTTTATATCTCAATGTACCATTTTAACAGCTATCCTGCCATGAGATGAAGCACTGCAGACCAACTCCGCTTGGCACAGGGGTTCATTCTAGTGATTCTGATGCAGGATCAGGCCATTTATTCATAGAAGTGGCTTTCTGACCTGCAGCTGTTTATCTTTCTACTCTTCACATGGCAAAAATAACTTTATTTCTTTTTGGTTTTTTACTGTAAAACAAAAGTGAAAACTGGAAACTTGGTGTAACTAAAATCTTTAATTTCTTATATGGGTTCAAGAGGTACGGTACCTTAAAACTTCTCGAACTAAATAACTCGAACTGCATTTCACTGGATTTTTTAATAAAGAAGGTATTTCTCATAAAAACAGTAGCAAAATTGCCAGTTTGCAATTACACAAATGCATTTAGTTCAACATCTGTCATGTCCTGTTTTTTTTTCTGTATATCTTTTCAACCTAGTGTTTTCAGCTGTTTGACAAGCCTAAGAATAAGCCTGTTCTTAATTTACCCACCCAGGTAAATAATTCCTATTGCTAAGGTTTGTGAGAATTATTAAGCAAGGAGAATACTTCTATTTTAGTAATCAAAAATGTAGAGAAGAATATATATTACCAAGAACAAAATTATTAACGTGTATTTTAGCTTGCTAATGCCATAGCAGTATGGAAAGGGAACTACATACTTTATTACTCTGTTTTACTTTTCTACAGTGAACATCCAAAAATTGAATTCTATCTGAAAAACTTCACTGCTGCGAAAGAAGTTTTGTTTGCTATAAAGGAATTGGGATTCAGAGGAGGCAATTCTAATACAGGTGAGTTCATACTTGACCACAAATAGAAATGACTTCTTGTCCTGTTTTGGTTTACATATGTATGTATTTATAAATTTTTGTATGTGTGTGTATACTGAAGTTCTTATAATTCAGCTAGGTAAGACAGTGTTTTAAAGGCCACAATCATTTCAGGTTCAATATTTTTTCCACTAGAACATTGACACACCTTGCATTTCATTTCCAGAAGTTAGAGTTGCTTATTACACATTTTATTAGGGTAGAAGTGCAAATATCACTTCCCGCGTTTAACCAATAATCAGCTTTTCATTAGTAAGAGTGATATCTTGAGACAATATCTAAAAGGCTTAGTGTTTCTTTTTTGTTGGATGGCTAATGAAAGAGTTAGAATAAACTTGGAATAAGTAGTAAGTGGTTGTGAAGAGATGTTTGCCAAATGAGGAAACTGAACATTCCAAATATGTTGCATTTCACAAGCTAAGTTTAGGTAGCTCCTCAACTTTCTTCTTCCAATCCATCTGGCAGGCACTACTGTGTCTACTTCCTAGTACAAAACTAGACCTGGGGGTGAAAAAATGTCAGTGATTTCTTCCTTGGCTTATCTGTGAGGTTTTTTGTAGGTGTTTTGGTTTTGACTTGTAGGTTGCTCAAGCTTCATTATCATCAAATTTCCTGGGACACTTTTACATTGGGTTAGACCTGTACAATTTCATATAGGAAACTGGTACCAAAATGTACCATTATGGTATGCATTACTTCCTCATGTTCTTTTTCTGTTCAAAACTAGGGAAAGCTTTGAAGCACACAGCTCAGAAATTCTTCTCTTTGGAAAATGGAGCACGCAAAGGAATTCCCAAGATCATTGTGGTGTTTCTAGATGGCTGGCCCTCAGATGATCTAGAAGAAGCTGGCATAGTGGCCAGAGAATTTGGAGTCAATGTATTCATTGTATCTGTAGCAAAACCCACAACAGAGGAGCTGGGAATGGTACAAGACATTGGTTTTGTTGACAAAGTAAGAGAGAATATAACTATTTGTTTTTCAGTCATGGGTATAATTCTGGAGAAGTTACTTCATGCTAAAATTCTTATCAACTGATTAGTGTGTGTGTGTATATATATATATATA